TGGCATTAAGAAATCTTGGAATATGTTGGTTACAGGCACATTTGAATAGCAACATTAAGGGTGCAATAGAGTAGTCCCAAACACATTTTCCCCGGACTTCTCACCTGTGACAATCTCATTCTCTTCGCTCTCCTCATTATCCTGGAAGGACAGCTCTTGGTAGAGATTGTTATCCGAGCGCTGTTCCTTCTTGGTGGTCGAGCGACCAACTGGGATGGGAGATTTGGATGGGGTTGTTCGGTGTTTCGGTGTTTTTGGTTTAGTTGAGTTAACACAAAAATCAAAAGAAGAGTGGAAACATTAGTACGGTAAGCGGTTGAGTGGTAAGCAGAGGAAAGTGTTCCTTCCAATCCCTGCACCTACCATTTGTGGGCACGTTTGGCACAACGGGACTGCTGTCGGGGCTCTGGGGCGAGGTGGCCTGGTGTTGCTGCTGCAGTGCATCAGTAGCAGCGCCGCGTTCCACCGTTCCGCCCAGATTGTCTAGCTCGTTCTGCAGCGAAGGCGGTCCTGAATCATCCGACTGACTGCCCACACTGCATATGGTCTCGGTATCCAGCATCACCGAGTTCTCCAGCGAGGCGAAACCATAGGAAACTGGCCCCGAGCTGCGAGCTACTGGATTAAGTCTCGCTCGACTCACATCCATGCGATCGGAGGCAGTGCTCATTTGCGAGTGCGTCGAGCCCATCAGCATCTTGGTGCGTTCCATGTAGTCCACATGGTTCTTAAACAGCTCCGTGTAACGCTCGTGCAGCTTGTTGTACTCCTAATAAATTAAATGTGCACAAAATGTTAATAGGAAAAATGTTATTTATTATATCATATCTTTACTGCCCACCTTTTTGAGGTCAGCTTCTCTCTCTTCCAAGCGACTGGCGTGCTCGAGACTGTTCTTGTGCTTCAGCTCCAGCATTCGCACAATGCTCTCAACCGATTCCAGGCGGGTGGCCAGCTCCTTGTTCTCCTGCTCGGCCAGGTCCTCGGCCTCTAAAAGCTATCCAAACACATTTTTTTTTATTTTCATCTTTTTAACATATTCTTAATTTACTCACCTTCTGTTCGGACTGTTTGCGGGCGCTCTTTTCCCGCTCATATTGTGTCACCAACTGCTCATTGTCCTCGCGCAACAGCTCCACCTCCACATCCTGCTCCTGATTGATGCGATAAGAGGCATCCAGACACTCCAGCACGTTTACCAGCAGCGGCATCAGGTTCTTCACCACATCCTCATCGTACCGATTGATCATCCGCTCGAACTCCTGATAAATGCTTCCCGCCAATTGTTGGACCTGCAAGAAAATGTTCATCAGTCGGGCTTTGGTTTAATTGAAATAAAGGGACAATAAAGTGCAATCGATTAGTAGGGTAACAAGGAAGAAACTCTAATATATTTTTGTTAATTCAAACTTTTAAAGTTATTATTAAATAATTAATCGTAGGGTGTTTAAAAGTTACTCCCTTGAAATAAGATCCAAACCACAAACATAATTACACAGACGAAGAGAGAAAGAAGTAAAAATAATTAGAAACTCCCATTTGATGGCTTAATTAAATCGGTTAACATAATTGCGGTTTTCAGCCGCTGTTTTTATGAATTGAAATCTCTTTAACTAAAGCCCCGAGTCATGCTTTTGGTTGTTAAATACAGGTAGAAAACGATATTATTCTCGCTTAATTATAAAACCAAGAAAACATTCTCGACTTTACATTTTTGGCAGAGATGTAAGAACAAAACAATCAGTTGCTAGGTGTTTAACAGGTACTTAAGAAATTGGTTGTAACTATGTCGTGCATTTACGTATGGGAATGTGAATAACAACAAAAAGAGTATAGGGGAGAAATGAAATAGACCACAAACGAAAAATTTGGATAACTCACGATGCTGACAACCTGTTCATTCTGAAAGAGAAAGAAAAGAACAAAAACAAGGTGTAAAGGACACATAAAAAACAAAATTTTATCAAATTAACTGAAAATTAAGAAATTAAACCCAAAATGTGAGTAAGTGCATTAATGAGTTGGTGAATGTTGTGCATTTTATTTATTATTATTTGACACATCAAAAAAAATGAATATAAAAACAATAAAGGGGTTATAAATATCAAAAGAAAAACGATGGGTTTTTAAAATTTATTATTATAACATCACTAATTAAACATTTTGCAAAGTTTGTAACATTTTTATACCGTTTTTTAGAAACATATGGTTATTTCTATAAATGGTTTTCACTAATCTTTTTAGTTATAATATAGGATTTCGTGGCGTTTCCATTGCACGCCAACTCCCTTCTCTAAAAAAAACTCGTCATTATACCAAGGTTGGGCAGACTTATAAGGCCAACTAGCTAAAGTATTCAAACATTTTTGGCCAGACTTGTTTCATAAATAGTTTCTGCTGTTGTTTGTCCAAGAAACAAGTTTTCAGCGATGTGTTAGCAATGCTTCCCGCTTGAAATTGCGGCAAACTCATTACTCAATTAACAGGTAGCTTATCAGCGAAGCATGTGCGCCAAGAATCATTATTGGGAACCTGATGAGCTCATTTTGGAGGGGTCGGAAATAACACTTATATGAGTGTAGAATTGAGGGGGAGGCCGCTTTGGTTTAATTTGCATAGCCCGATTAAAGCTGCCGAAGCTGATAAAGTGCAAAATCAATCAGGGAATTGGGGTGAAAAATAAAAATAAACTAGACTGCAGAGACGGGGGATTCGTTTATAAAGAGGCTACACTGCTAACAATATGGAAATTATGGCACTAAAAACGATACGTTTTTTTGTTGTCAGCAATTTTGAAAATACAGAAAATTTAAGGCACTCAAATTTAATTTTTATATTTACAATTTCTAAAAGCTTGATAGTTGTAACTAGATGTATGATTTTTTCTCTCTCTGCAAAAGATTGCGTGAGTTGGTCATAAAATTTGAGGGCCAACTGACTGACTTTATTGATTTCTGGTCCCCCGGCTTTTTACCCTCTTTTGCTCTCTCTAACTCTCTTTTTTTACCCATTTTTGTTTGATATTTTTCGCCAGTTTAAATGTCAATGACCAGAGGCGTCAGCTGATGCATAATAAACATTTGTTGGATGCGTTTTTAGATAATTAAGCGTATGTAAAGAGGAGAGTAGGAAAAACGATGAGCAAAGAAAGCATTTTTCTGCGATTGTAGCATTTCCGCTTGGGACACTTTTATAGCCTCATTATCTGGTGTTTGTGCTTGCGATATTTATGTGAGTGTGTTTGATTGTGGATGTTAAGAAGCAGAGGTCCAAGAAAACCTACATAAAGTGCGTTATCGAATATAAGGGACTATCAAAAACGCCAGCATTATTCAGTATATGTCCAAAATTACTCAATGATTTTATATTAAAATATACCTTTATTATGAATTTTTTTTATCCAAAGATTTTAAAGTTTTAGGTTTTGAATCAAAATTTGGTAAAATAAATTTTTTTAAATTTATTAATATAAAATTATAAAAATGAATAGAATTATCTTAAATATCGAAATAATTTTGATATTTTAAAAATTAAATCAAGCTGTTTGAGATGATATAATTGTTTTAACATGTGGTTGATTGTCTTGAGTTTGTATAACCATAGTTGAAAATATTTTCCATTTGATTTTCTTCTTTACAGAGTTATGTTAATGAAACTTGCATTATTTAAAAGATAGTTTAGTAAATGAGTGAATTTAAAAAAAACATGATAATAACAATTAATCTTATACTATCCAAATCCATTTTTTTTGTATAATCAGAGTGGAATGCTGATGAATGAGGGCTTTTGTGGATTGGAAAATACCTTTTCTGACATGACCATATTGTTGTCCTCGGTTCCGTAGACCGTTTCTGCTCCGGACTGTGGTCCTCCATTGTTGAGCAGGGCGTCGTCGTTGTCCATCATGATGAATGGTGTTTATATAGATCGATGATCTGCTTCTTTGTAAAGGGGGTTACTCTTTTTTGAAGGGTTGAGGAAGGTGGGGTGGGGAGTGGGTGGTGCACTTGACTGCTACGTCACGCGTTAACCGTTATGCAGGCAATGCCTTTTCAACCCCACCATACAACAACAAAGCGGAGGGAGAGAGACCGAGAGAGACTCCCACACACAGACACTCTTGACTTTTCGATGATTTCGTAGTGACACTGGTATTTATATATATTTCGACCCAATCTCTAGTATATTTAAATAAATTGCACTTTTGCTGTTTTGTTTCTGCGTGTCACTTTTATTTGCGTTTTTCACTTTTCCCCCACGTCTCTTCTCTTTCCCTTCATTCACAAAATTTGATTGACTAGATTTCATCGTTTTTCGCGTTTGTTTTTCGCTGCATTTTCAGCGAAATTTCACGCAGATTTTACTGCCCACGCCTCCGCGGCCATCCGTTGCTTACGATGAGGCATTCAATTTTAGGCAATTTATAGATTTTCACAGCATTTTAGCAATAAATATTGGAACACTTTGCAGCGTAGCGACGAGTGTGTGGGTGTGGGTGTGACTGTTGTACGGACTGAAAAAAATATCATTCCTCAGTCGCAGGAAAAAGTATTTCTGTATATTTAATACACGGTTACACTAAATTATTATTATAAAAATAATAACAATCTTTCAATTCTTCCCAGTTACAAATTAAAAATTGTTATAGAGAAACTACGAACACTTGTTTTTAATTCGTTTTCGAAAAAGGTTTCTATTAACCACTATCGATCCTAAACAGTTCAAGAAACCGCCAAACATCATGGCGTTGCCACATCGTCGAAATAGCTCTTCTTGATATCCACCCATTTTTATAGATTTCTTATTTTAGAAAGTGTTTAAAATATGTGCAACTTTTTTGAAAAGAGAAAATTTTAGCTTTCGATGGAAATGTGCTGGAAAACTGCCTCCAAACATGAAATAAGAAAATTGTGGCCCATTCACAATAGGTCTTCGATAGGAGCTCCAAAAACCTATCGTAATCCATAACCGAGTTAGTATTTTTTTCATAGCACGGGCACATTGCTTCAACGTCACGCCGTCCAGTTGCTGTTGTTGTTTTCATTAATTTCTCCTGGATTTGCATTTGTTCGACTTAAAAAATGGTTTTTGTAAAGAACTGGGAGGATTTCGAGATTGCCGCCGAGAATATGTATATGGCGAATCCTCAGAACTGTCGATACACGATGAAATATGTGCACTCCAAGGGCCACATACTGCTAAAAATGACGGATAACGTAAAGGTTTGATTTGATTTTCTTTATCTACAAAAACACATTTTCATTTATGGAATTTATTACCCCACAGTGTGTGCAATACAAAGCGGAGAACATGCCGGATCTCAAGAAGATCGAGAAGATCACCAGTAATTTGGTAGGACACATGGCCTCCAAGGAGTAAACCCCGAACGACACAAAAAACGATTTGGCCACGGCGACACTTCTGCCCGAAAACAACAACACAGCACTTGTAAATCAGCCACAATAGTTGTTGTTTCTTTTGGACAGCTGTGCGCGTGTGTGTGTGCCATCAACACCTGCAACTGAATTTAGTTTTTAAGCGCCAAACAACCGCCCAGTTTTAAAAGTTCAAATGTGGCGATCAGAGTATCTGCTTTTAAACGACATTTCATAAATGTCGGCTCTGTACACGTTGTGAATAATCTGCGGAAGGATTCTCGAAATCCCATCTGCAGGCGGCGGTGGCGCAAAATGTTTTTCGATAAAGTTAACCATACGATTTTGTATTTATTGTAACAGTCAATGGGTCGTATACATTTCCATGAAATGATTAGCATGAAATAAACCAAGGGAATAATGCAGAACACCATGAAGCGTAGTAATCAATCGGTGTTTTTATTGAAAGTGGCCATTTTTCGAATATCTAAATATTATCTATATATTTTTAGAAGTCCTAAACTTCAAAATCGCTAGCATATATATATATATTTATTCTAACTCGAATAGGGCAGGACTTCGTCATATTTTTTAGTATAGAATATGCCAAGTAAAAAAAAGTGGTGGAAAGTTGTTTGCATTAATTGTTTGTTTAGACTAAAATAATTTAGTAAAATAATAAGGCTTAGCATTTTTTAGAGCCTTACAAAAGCATTTTTTAAAATTTCCAACAAGAAGGCAGACTGTTGTCATTCAAAAAAGTACTCCGAAGAACTCTTAATTGCCTAACCATTAAAGTTAAAGCGATTAAACAGCCCGAGCAAACAGTTAACAAGCCACCTGAAAGTGGCAGGAGGAACAGAATAGCCACCGATGGGAACTGGAAATGGACAGCGGAATGGGATGCTGGCTCACTTAATAATCCGAGAGCAAATATTGGTTATTTGCATGTGAGGCACTCGAGTTTATTTGCCGCAGGAGATTGACAGCAGCCAGTCTGCCGCGAAAGATTGATGGAACCGATGGCCACCGGATTGGGCAAATGGACAACTGGACAATGGGACACTGGGACATTCAGAGATTGGTAGTTAGAAGTGTTTGCCCAGAATGCAGAATGCACTCCGACTGAGGTGGGATTTACCTGTTGCCCGGGAGGCAACTCAGTAGCCACTTTGGATTAAGTCAGAGCGTTTGCTTGACCCACAGAGATCCGCTCGAGCGGACCTTTTGATCAGCCCTCCAGCCCTACAGTTGCAGCTCAAGCGGACTCCTCTTGGTTATTCTGGCCAGGTGATTGAAGAAACCGTCAGTTTCCGGCAGCTATATCTATAACTCCGCGACAAGCTCATTTGGCTTCTGTTTGATGGAGACGGAGATGCCGATGGATCCTCTGGCCATCTCATCGGATGTTTGTGTTTGCCCGGTTTGTGCTTTTCGATTTTCGAACAGGCCTCTGTTTTGCTTTACTCGAGTTTTGTTTGGCTTTGTTTGCCTTGCGCATTGCATTGCAATCACAATCACTTTAGGCGGCTCGGCTTCAACGCTTCAAGATATCTGAGAGACCGGTCTTAATTTGGATGGGGGAGTGGGAGATACGGGAGTTGGTTTTTGAAAAGTGCCTGGAGGTATATTTAATTGAAATCTTTGTTTATTTTAAACAACTATCTAAAACAAATAAAACATTTGATTTATATACACAAGCTTACATTAAATTAAGCAGGAAATTAAAACATTATTGAAGCAATTGAGATAAATATTTATAAAAATATATAAATAAAATCATTAAATTCTGCCAAAACATAGAGGATACATTTTAAAAGATGTCAACACCCAAAATATTAACAAATTAAAGAACAACATTGTAAAATACAAAGTTTTTAGATAAAAGATATTCTTTAAATTTAAAATTTTTAATTAATTTGTTGGTAATTTCTTTTGAATAACAAAATACAACATTTCTCAAATTTAGACTTTACATAAGCATAGGTTTTTTAATAAACTTAACATTTTGAGAACTACCATACCTAAACTTTTATACAATTTTTTTTTACCTTATAAAATACTTATATTACTTTACTTTAAGGTCTAAAGTCTAAACTTAAGAACTCACAACAAGTAAAGATTCTTTAAACTAAGATTAAATTAAAATTAATTTAATCAATTTTGCAGAACTCCATTATTGTTTTTTACAATATTTTCAATTCTTTAAGGTAAATTGAGTTGACCAATAAAAACATAATAAATTTTATAGAGACCCCAACAAAATGCAGTTATCAAAATCAACAAATCAAAAGACAGAAACACAACAAGCAATCTGAAAGACTTCCATATATTCCCTGGGTATATATATATATATATATTGACGATTATAGGGGGCTACTTTTGTTGGAAAATGAGGGTCGTAAAAAAAGCATAGCCGCAGGAACGGTGGCAATAATTTCGATCTTTACAAGACGATAAAGCTCATGCTTTAATTAGGCCCCAGCGATTCCTGGCCGCCCACCCTCCTCGAACTGGTGCGATAAACTTGACAAATAACATAAATACCTTTTATTGCGGGTGGCTCGGATGTGGGGTGAGTGCGTGGTGGGTGCGGGTCTGATTGGGGGTTCGGTGTCTCCACTCGTAAGACCTTCTCAAATAGACCTACTAGTATTACGCGGACCAGGGCGGTACGTGCTTTTTACGACACCCACTGTGGCGTCAATTATAAAGATATTTAAGTACAGTTAGCATTCAATTAGACGGCGCAAAGTTGCCTCTATCGCCATGGTCAGACTGCCATGGAAATCCCTCTGATTTAATATATATAGTTTTATATGGTATCGGACCCGCGGGCCATATAACTAAGTCCGCCTGATTGCCATAACTAGTTGGTCATATGACAATTAGTTGTAAATTAAGACCACCGATTTCTTGTACAACCAAAGCCCCCAGGATTTTCTATGAATAAGTGTAGAAAACAAGTAGGAGAAGCTATATAGATACATATGGATAAACTTTTAAATGAAGATATATGAATTGTAATCCAATCGGAAATAGTTCGATTTTTTCGAACCGTATTACTTATATTAATTAATTTTCTGAGGCATACCTTTTTAGTTTATTATTTTCCAACATCTTCTATTAACATAAACATATTAATATTATTAAAATAGAGTAGATATATAAGTACTTTTATTGCTTCTGCAAATGATTTAAAAAATACTTGAAATTATATAAATAATCAGTAAGTCCTATTCCAAGAGTGAAAGTCATTAGATCATTCTTTTGACCAAATCCATTTTTAATGGTTTTATTTCACAAATTCCTCGCTATATTAGTCACAGATGTCAGCCGCCTCACGTTATAAGTCGGTCAATACGTTGGGTCAATATAAAACTCATTAAAGGCAGGCATCATTGTCTCAGACCACCTGTACCATACCCACACCCATACCCATTCCACAGACTATCCCCCCTTTTTCCTCCTGGGACACAACAAAGCGAAATTGAAATGCAAACCGACTAAAAGCCCCGGGCGGAGCTACTTGCCACCCCTTTTAGCCGCCCCCTGGACCGCTCTATTGACTCAAAACGGTAGCCGCTCAACAGTGGCTAATGGTCATAATTAAACGTGGCTTATTTGCATAAATCAAGTGGTGAGTTATGTTCACCTGGGCAGCACTGAGGTGAGTGGCAATGATGGAGGTATTGGAGGTGAAGGGAAAACGCTTTGAACAACTCCAAAAGAAGCCGCTTCCTCTTGGTCATTTCCCATTTTTCAAATCGATTCATTAGACTCCATTTTGTTTAGCATACCCTTATAAAAAGTATGTTAACTTTGTTAAATCGACTTCAAAAACATTTTAAAAGTCATATTTTAATTAAAAATGTATTAAGACCTACGTTCAGTTCAATTTTATAACATCATTGCCTTTTATAAATTAACATAAGTAAGTTGCATTGGAAAAATCAATATTGAATGGTAGTCTTAAAATATTTATTTTATATTTTATTTTTTCAGTCAAATGTTTAATTAATATTGCTGCCAGGGCAACAAGACAAACCAAGTTTTTTTAAGGAAGTAAAACTTTGTGTCTAAATTGCAAGTGTTACTTCTCAAAGTTTCTAGGCACACTAATAGAACTTTGTTTCGACTGATAATTCATAATTACACTCATGATTTCATTATCAATTTAACAAAATTTTCTAGGTAAATTTATCTATAGGTGCAATATAACATGACTTGTCCGAACCGGAAGTACTTAACCTACGTCAACGGGGCTAGTAATTTAGAATGTATCATATCTTAATCATTACCATCGAGAGGCCGCAATCAGTTTGAAGGGTGACAACATGTCTATAAGAAACCGAGCGCAAAAATTATATCAGTTTCATTAAATTTGAATCACAGAGAGTTAACCAGAAATTTCGTAATGCCCGAATCGATGACAAAATGTGAATTTCGCCGAGATACGGAAGCAATTGCCCACTCAAGTATTGTGGCCCGGAGATTTGTCATAGGCCTCTCCTTAACTAACACACACTATATCTCCGCGATTTCGACTTATCGGGGTGCACAAATCAAACAAATAAAAAGGGGGAAGGGAGGGGGAAATTCGATTTCAAAATTATTGATAAATGGCAATTGTTATTACTAATATACGATGGGCTCGGTAATGGCTTATTTATAAGGTTCGGTGCGAGCAGTTTCTGCTTTTGGACTGGTAAATCAACGTCTATGATTAGAGCTTAATACATCTTGATAAGGCCGCCCATAAAAAGGAGGCAGTGCGGACTGGTGTTCCAAATTTGATAAATCAAAAATACCACTGCCTCGTCTTTTGGCTCTGGCTCTCGCAATTGGCAACTTTAGATTAATCCCGCAATTTAGTTGATTAACCAGCTAATCGAGAGATTTGCCCGGTTCAAGAGGCTATTTCCTAGTCTCCAGGCGGGTCAGGCTATACGCGTTTTTAAACGCACTCGAAACGCGTGCAACTCGCGTTTTTATGTTACCGCAGTAAATCAATTAGGTTGATTAGTTTGCTGATTGAGAGATATGCTGAGTTCGATGAGCGATTTCCTTTAATATTTTTCGTACTTAAAGCATTAATAACTTACAGCTAAGATACATCGATGATTTGTTATTGTAAAACCATAAATCTATAAGAAATTACCAATACAAAAATAAAAATAACCCTAAAATGGATGAATATCTAAAGATACGATTAATCACTTAGTGCATGAGCTTCATTATTTTAGATCTGTAATAATTAAAACCATTTTCTGTGTTTCTAACCTTAACATTAACCTTATTAGTAAAGAAACTTAATCGAGTTATCTTTTCAAACTCAAATTTCTAACCAAAAACTTAAAATGCTAATTTAAACAACCGTAACGGTTCACAATCTTTTTGAATAAAGAACTGTTTTGAAACCTTTTTTTTTTAGTTTTTAGCCCTA